GAAGAAGAAGACGAAGAAGAAGAAAAGCTTGCTTGATACACGCGTCGGACTCACACACGTAGCGTACACTATGAAGCGCGCGATCCCTGGCTCCCCGTCGCCCTGAGTGGGCCGTGTCGAACCAAGATATGAGAGAGTCCCTGTTTGCGACCACCACTGCCTTGAGTACTGAAATCGCTGGCAAGCTCGAACCCTCCAACGGAGGGCAGTGTCACGGGCTGGACTGTGAGCACACTTTGGGTCCAACTCGCATCGAAGATGCCTGAGAACGAACGGCAGCGGAGGAGACCGACGTGTGGCAGCATGTAAACACACACACACGGGATGGAGAGGAAGAGGAAGATGTAGGAGATAATCTCGGGTGGGGAAGAGAGAGAGAGAGAGAGAGAGAGAGAGAGAGAGAGAGAGAGAGAGAGAGAGGCCCAACGCGCGGCCGTAGGGCGGTGCCGCGGTCCTCTCCACGGAGCGCTGGTAGATGGATCATCCCCCGTCAGGGATGGCACATACTCTCTCGGGGAAAGGGGGGAAAGTCTGAGTTGAGGCTAGGCTCGGGAGGAGGGAAGAGAGAGAGAGAGAGAGAGAGAGAGAGAGAGGAGAGAGAGAGAGGAGAGAGAGAGAGAGAGAGAGAGAGAGAGAGAGAGAGAGAGAGAGGAGAGAGAGAGAGAGAGAGAGAGAGAGAGGCAGAGATAGAGGCAGAGAGAGAGAGGCACAGAGAGAGAGGCAGAGAGAGAGAGAGGCAGAGAGACAGAGGCAGAGAGAGAGGCAGAGAGAGAGAGAGGCAGGGAAAGAGAGGCAGAGACAGAGAGAGGGCAGAGAGAGAGAGAGACAGAGAGAGCAGAGAGAGCAGAGAGAGAGGCAGCTCAGTCACACTTAAATCCAGATTCGTCCTCACCGAGTCCCACCACCAAGGGAGCGCCAGCAAGGAGATGCACATATGGGGATCCCCACGCAGTGAATAATTCAGTGAACGTAGTTTTGGTCGCGGGTGGGTCGCGGGCTCCCCACCTCCACCTGGAAAGGAATTCAAAAACAGCCCGCCGCAGGCGCCGAAAATTTTGAGTTGTACACTGAACACTGTTTGGGTCGCCGGGTGGGTCGCAGGGTCTCCCCACCTGGGAAGACTGCAAAGAAGCCCGCCGCAGGCGCCGAAAATTTTGGGTGGGTCGCAGGGTGGCGCGGGTGGGTTCCGCGGTGGGTCGCGGGGGGTCGCGGGTGGCTCGCGGGGTGGGTCGCGGGTGGGTCTCGGGGTGGGTCGCCGGTGGGTCGCGGGTGGGTCGCCGATGCAAAAGAAACCCGCCGCAGGCGCCGAAGTTTTGGCTTGTTCAGTAAACGTAGTTTGAGTCGCGGGTGGGTCGCGGGCTCTCCACCTCCACCTGGAAGGAATTCAAAAACAGCCCGCCGCAGGCGCCGAAAATTTTGATTTGTACACTGAACGCGGTTTGGGTCGCGGGTGGGTCGCAGGTTCTCCACCTGGAACGAATGCAAAAGAAATCCGCCGCAGGCGCCGAAAATTTTGGTGGGTCGCGGGGTGGGTCGCGGGTGGGTCGCGGGTGCGGTCGCGGGGTGGGGTCGCGGGTTGAGTGCGCGGGTGGGTCGCCGGGGGTCCCGGGTGGGTCGCGGGGTGGGCCGCAGAGGGGGGTCTCGGAGTGGGTCGTGGGTGGGTCGCGGGGTGGGTCGCGGGGTGGGTGCGGGTGGGTCGCGGGTGGGTCGCGGGGTGGGTCGCGGGTGGGTCGCGGGGTGGGTCGCGGGTGGGTCGCGGGTGGGTCGCGGGGTGGGTCGCGGGTGGGTCGCGGGACGGGTCGCGGGTGGGACGACGACAACAACAACAAAAACAACAACAACAACAACAACAACAACAACAATCATTTTACCCGAACGCGTGGTGTTCTCCCCAGTGCCAGGGTTTTCATACGACACCAGGCAATACCCCCACTTCGTGGGGGGGCATTACAAGCTCTACCAAATATCCAAACGACTCTTCGCGACCACCCAAACCCAGCTTCCCGCCCTATGACGTTGGGACACTTCACTTCGTGGCGTGCGGACGACCGTGGCTACTACACTGGCGCGGGGTACACACCCACAGAACTTGGTCACTTATTCGGGGCGCGCATGTGCCCAGCATGGTGCAATTGTGCCATACAATACATAATACAGAGAGACAGAGAGAGAGAGACAGAGAGCAGACAGAGAGACCTACGGTGCGATTCGTGTGATTTTATGATGCGCGGTGCTAAAATTCTTAAAAACCCAATGGTTTTTGGAGATTTCGGCGTGCGCGCGCGAAGAAAAAACGAATGTGTCCCGCATGGTATTATTTGACAGGGATGATGGCCCTGGCAGGTGCGCAACCGTTGTCGCAGAAGTTCGAAAAAGTTGCTCGCAAAAGCCCGTTTGACAGAAATGTTTAAAAAGTGTTGGTTTTCCTACGAATCCGCAAGAGCGCGCGGGATGAGATTTTGACATTTTTTTGTTGAAAAACCATTGGTTTTTTGATGTTTTTATGTTAAAATCGCTCCGAACACTAAGCTTTTGGAAGGATTTCGTCTTGCGCGCGCGAATGTCCACTTTACCTTATTTTTTGCAAGGGATTCTTGAAATTTGATTATATTAGAACAAGAAATGTCATTTTATAGTGTTTTTTGCAAGGGAAAACGGATTACAACAAAACAACCGGATCTTGATGACATCGTATTACCTGAGGCTTCCTCACGAAAATGATGAAAATGTAGCTGCGGCCTAGGCGGCGCAGGGGGGCCGTGCACCAGGGGTCCCAACAATAATTATTCTTTAGAATTAATAATGTTCAACAACAACAACAACAACAACAACAACAACACCAACAACAACAACAACAACAACAGCAACAGCAACAACAACAACAACAACAACAACAACAACAACAACAACAACAACAACAACAACAACAACAACAACAACAACAACAACAACAACAACAACAACAACAAACAACAACCAGAATCCGCATCGCGGAATTCCACTTCAGAAACGCACCTCGGGACAGTGAATGACCGTTCGGTTCAGCCCCCTCACTCTGATCATCCTTCGTTTCCCTAAGGCCCAGACCTCCTCGCGCTGCGAAAAAAATTGCGACGGACGGTTTTTCGCCCTTCTCGGCCTCCAGCGGGCCCTTCCCGGGCCTCGGGGCCGTCAAAAAAAAACAGCTCAGGACGAACAACAAAAAAAACGTCCCCAGGAAGGGGTCCGTCCGGACCTCTCTCGGGGTCGACGTTTTGGAGAACCGTCGCGACGTCAGGGGTCTGGGGAGCCGGTTGTGAAGCGGCGATCGGCCCAGACCCGCTCAGGATCGGCCTCGGGGCCCCTGCCGGGGTCCGCCCTGGGCCGCCTGCCGAGGCGGATCCAGCGCCGTGGCGACGAGAGGTCTCCCAGAGGCCCCGGCAGGAGGGAGGCCGCCAGGGGAGGCCGCCGTGGCCAACCTGTGGCCGCTGCGAGCGCCCGCGCTCGCGGCGTCCGAGGCCGGCACCAGAGGCCACCGCGCAGGCCCTGCCAGCAGTGCGGGCGTCCGCGGCGCCGTGCAGGGCTGCATGGCGGTCGACGCCCTCATCCGCCCCGGCGCGCACCGCGGCGGTCCCGCGAGTCGGGGCTGTGAGCCAGCATCGCTGCGGGAGGGGAGGCGGAGGTGCAGGGGGAGGAGGAGGAGAGCGAGGAGGGGGGAGTGGAAGAGCCGGGAAGAGCCGGGGGGGGAGCAGAGGGGATGAGGGAGGAAGAGCAGGGGAGGGGAGGGCGGGGGAGGAGGGAGGCATGGAGGAGGTAGCCAGGAGGAGCGAGGAGGAGGGAGAAGGAGGAGGTCGAAGTCGAATCATTGATGTACTCCAAAGGTGTCGTGTACTCCGCCTGCTGGATGTACTGCTCTGCAGTGCGAAAGATATCCTAAGGACACCCGCGAACCTAGCAGGAACTGGATATTGGCCCTCCTCGGTGAGGCCTGGCCTCCACTGCGGATCGGCAGCACGGAAAACAAGTGCACGCGATTGTGCGTTTCCGACCCGTGGCGGTATACTCGGTGGCAACTCATGGGAGCCTCCCGTACCATCTTGTCAGCGGTTGCGAATCGACGCGAATCGACGCTAAATCGACTCTAACCGACGCGAGTCGACGCTGAATCGACGCTACGTCATCGACTCCCAGACGCTAATCGACGCGAGTCGACGAGAAAGACTGAATTCAAAGGGTCTACCAGGCTCCCATGGTTTGCTACCGAAGGTATACGGTAAAGCGCACAAGGACATACTCATACCATGCGCCCACTTGGAGGCGCACGCCCGCCTGTTTAACACGTAGCGCAAGCACGCTGCAGCATGCTGGCATCCGGGCGGAGTTGCCGGACCACGCCCGCCACGACGGCGTTTGCACTGCGAGGGCTCTCGGTATGCACGCCGTCCTATTTGACTACCTGCCAGACCACCCCAACCCAACCCGAAGACCCGAATTTCGGGTTTGGGAGGGTTTACGGGCTTCGTATGTGTTTTTGTTCCATGTTCCCCGACACCCCCCCGCCCACTGGAACTGGAGGGCAAATCGGGGCCCTCGGGGTGGGTTGGGGTGGTTTGGTGGGCGGTTTCGGTGGCAACTCATGGGAGCCTCCCGTACCATCTTGTCGGCTCTCGCGAATCGACGCTACTCGACGCTAAATCGACGATAGCCGAGGCTGAATCGGCGCTACCCCATCGACTCCCAGACGCGAATCGACGCTCACCGACGCGAACGACACCATCACGAAGGAACACAGGGCCCCCAGGATCTGCGGCCGACAGCGGTGACCATTGAGAGCGACGCTCCCTGGAAGCCCTGAAGCTCACAAGCTCATCCGCGTTCTGCGCGTCCGCCGGCCTCCCCCGGCTTGAGCCCCCCGCCGGCTCCCCGACGACCTCCCGCCGCCCATCGACCCCCGCTGGCGCGACCTGGCGCCCCCCCGGCCATTTGGCCGACCGCCGCTCCCGCGAGGCTCCCCCCGCGGCCTCCGGCGGGGAGCACCGCCCACTCGACGCCGTCCAGCACCTCGAAGACGCCGGGCGGCGCTCCGGGCGCCGAGTAGCAAGAGATCCAGTACTCGGTGCTGATGAGCAGCTCGACCACCTGAGGCAGAGAAGGCGCCGGGAGGAAGAGAAGGAGGCGAGGAGGAGGAGGAGGAGGAGGAGGAGGAGGAGGAGGAAGAGGGAGAGCTCCCCTCCCACACATCCCTTCCCCTCTCAGCCATCCCTTTCCATTGCGATAATTTGCTCCCCCCGCCGACGGGTGTCACTGCGGACGCGGAACTTCCAAGAGGAGTTCATCGTGCCATGCACATTCCTAAAACCGGAGCTATATTGGAGGAGGAGGGGTGGCGGATGAGTGGTGAAAGTGAGGAAGGAGCAGGAGGACGAGGACGACCAGCAGCCACAAGAGCAGCAGCACGAGGAGCGTCAGGAGCAGGAGGACTAGGGGAAGATAGGGAAGGCGGAGGACGGGAAAGGAGCGGGGCGACAACGAGGAGGAAGGACTCAGATCCAGAATTGTGGGCCGCGCTGAGGCGAGAGCGCTATTCTGAACGAGGGGAGCAAAACGTCAATCTGAAAATGATGCCAACGCTGCAGCGAGAGCGCCATTTGAACCACCGACAGCGCTCCGAATCATTAGATATATAAATATATGATATATGTAAAATATCACACGCCAAAAAAATACCCTGCGACGTACCCAACCCACAAGCACCAATGGATGATATAGGTGTGCCGACAACCATGTGACATCAACACTGCAAGATACGGTGCACGGCGGATATCTATGTCGTGCGAAGTGTGCGTGGCCGACTCGCAGAACAGAGGTACAAAAGGCCAGGAGTCATTGTACTGGGAAATGAGAAGCAAAAGGAAGACATATCTGGGGACCGGTGGGGGCATGGTTGTTCAAAGCGCCCGTGCGGAAGGCGAGAGACCACCACCCGGGTGTTCCTCCTGAACCTCCTCTCCCTCCCCCTCCGCCTCCCCTCCATCCCGCGGGTGCAGGGAATGGAGGCGGGGCCTCCCTTGTGCGAGCGCGCGGCCGCCTGCCATCTGTCTTTGAGACGTTATCGCGAGGCAGAGTCGGCCTCTTCGTCCTCTCCCTCCCCCCCAGTCCCTCCTTCGATCCTCTGCTCCGGGAGGGCGCGCGCTCGTCGGCAACCAAGGAGGGCCGCGGGAGGAGTCCCGAATCATTGGCTTCTCTTGGAAACACAAATTTTGCTTCCGCATGCCTTCCGCCAGCGGATGCGCCCCCGTGTGGCTTCCGCCAGGCCCCGCCGGCCTTCCGCCCCTTTCCGCCGAGGAAGTGAGATCGACTCCTTCACATCTCGAAGGCGAGGCCCTTTCTGGAGCACCACATACGGAGCCAGCTGCACGCAGGAATGACCCTGTGAGGAGCAGGGCAGCCCGAAGCAGACCAAGAAGGAGCGCCGGCGCTTCTCAGGATGTGGCCCTGAGACGTGGCGCGCTGGCCCCATCCCTCAAAGCCCCGTCTTCGAAACACCAAGAGCGGGCCATCTGGGTTTGTTTCGGGGCTTTTCTCGAAGGAAAAGCCCTGAGCAACCCTGCGGAGGACCCTCTTGTTCTTGGCCCGGCTGGGGCCTCCTGCCCCCGCGCCCTGGGCACGAGCGACCCCTGGCGTGCGGCCTGCCGTGCGCTGCGACGGTGGCGGCCTGCGCGAGTGGGCTCGGCCTCTCCCCCCCTGCGGACCCCGAGCGCCACGCACCGAGAGAGAGCCCCTTCGGCGAAGGGCCACTCTCACGTGCAGCCGACGGATCGCCGACGGGCAGATCGCGAGCGAGACACGTGCGGCGTCCTCGTGTCGTCCCGACGTCTGCGCTGGCTCCCGACGCCGCGCGGATCCCTCAGGCCTCCACGACCGCGGCCTGCAGATGACGCAGAGCGTTCGATGTCAGTCGACTCTGGGCCACCGGCGGCGGTCAACCTGGAACGCCGGCTCCGGGGTCGCCGCGCCACGTCACCGCGGCGCGAAGCTGCGGTACTGAAGGGGCTCAGGAGCACACAAATAAATACACACAAATCCCAGGATTCCCCACAGTTCCCTAGATGCTCTTGAGCTTCGTCTTCCCCCCCCTCTTCCCATGCTCTCCCATATTTTGCGGGGAGTCGACATTCCATCGTGTCTCTGTGTGTTCTCCCTCCTTGAGGCACAGCGTCCACGGCCTCCGGGACTTCGCCTCCGGCTCCTGTCCAAGGCGTTCCTTTTCCTGTGCAAGCTCCTCAGCACCGCCTGCACCCCGCGCCCTCCGGCCGCCTGAGGCCCCGCCCGCCTGTACTCTGTCCCCCCAATTAATGCTTTGCGCGGCCCGCCTAGCTCTCAACCGGAAGAGGCTCGCTCTCGACCCGCAGACCAAAAAAGTGTTCTCCCCCTCCTGGAGGCACAGCGTCCGCGGCCTCGCGGTCCAGACTCCCGGGCCGCGGACTCCCATGGTGCACTGGGGGCGGGCCCGGCAGGGAGGCCCGCACGGCGAGCGTATATCTCACTGGGATCGCGCGCCCATCGGGACCCGCGGCCCGGCGCCCCGCGAGGGCAGGGGTGCGGCAGGAGGCGGGCCAACCTCGGGAGGCAGCTCCTGGGAGATCGTCGTTGCAACGATCGAGGGCGATTGGACCCGATCAGAAGGCCACTTCACCGGATCAGGCCAGATCAAGCCCGGGATTAAGCCGGATTACGCCGGATCAGGCGGGATCAAGCGGGATTAAGCCCGATGAAGCTGGATCAGCCCAGATTAAGCCTTTATCGACCGCGACAATACCAGCGCCGATACAGATTTCAACCTCCCAGGAGTTACATCATCGCCAACCTGGTCGAGTGTCGGTCTGGGAAGAATGTCTTTTGGCTTGGGCAGGCTCTGCTCGATTGCTGTTGGGCCCCTCACCCCTGGGGCGGCCAAGTGGCTATGGGGAGGCAATGAAGGGGACTACTAAGAAGCACACTTTTACGCGTCTGGTCGGCACTTCCGCCCTACCTGAGGCAGGCATGCCCTGGCTTGCGGCGGCTACGCCCTACTTGTGCCCTACCCGTGGCAGCCGCGCGATGCTCACGACGCCCCCCCCCCTCCTGGACTTCGCAATGCCTGCCACGGCGAGGAGCGGGCCTCCGTGGTGCCTGGGGGGGGGGCCCTCCGAGCGCTGGCGGCACGCAGGAGGGGGCAGGATCACTGGGACGGCCTCCCGAGAAGCCCCCTGCCCGCCCCTGCTAGAGGGGGGGGCCCAGAGAGGCACCAACAAACAGGCACAAATTCCATGGTCTCCATACGTTTCCATATGCTTCGAATGCGTCTTCCCCTCCATCTCCCAAATCATTTGCAATGCCTTCGCTGGAATCCACGCCGACTGGTGTCCGTGCCCTGCGGACTCTCGGGGGCCGAGCCCCCCCGAAGACGCAGCTGCCCAGCCGTCTCTTGAAGGCCGCCCCCCTCGACCCTGCCCCTCCCCGCGCGCCGCCCACAGAGCACGGTCCAGCCACGGCATGGGAAAGACATCCTCTGCAGGAGATCCCGCCCTGACATGGCAATCGCTCGACAGGGGTTGGCCGAGGGGCTCCCCCTCGTGCCCAGGCTCGGCGGCTCGCCGACGGGGGGGGAGGAGGAGGAGGAGGAGGAGGAGGAGGA